GCTTTCAAAAAAGTATCCTCTAGGGGCTGGGGATGTGGCTCAAGCGGTAGCGTGCTTGCCTGGCATGCGTGCGGCCCGGGTTCGATCCTCAGCACCACATACAAACAAATATGTTGTGTCTGCTGAAAACTAAAAAATAAATATTAAAATTCTCTCTTTCTCTCTTAAAAAAAAAAAGTATCCTCTATCCAATCAGTTCTCATTGTCACCCTAGTCAGTCTCCAACTCATTGCAATAGCCTCCTACCTAGCCTCCTACCTCCTTACTTCCACCCCCACCCTGCCCGCCATGTTTTCCCTGCAAGAGCAAGAGTTCTTTTAGCAAATACAGGTCATGTCTCTCTGTCCCTGACTCAGAACTCTCTAGTGGCTTCGGATTCCTCTTAGAACCAAACCCAAAGTTCTCATCAGATCCTATACAACCTACTCCAGCTCTCTTGTACCTTATCTTCTGTTCTCCCTGCTGCTGGCTCCACCCCAGCCACTATGGTCTCCTCAAGGACTTTGTATGTGCTGTCTCCTCTGCCAGGAATACCCTTCACCAAGATCGCCTCATGGCCCATTCCCTTCTTTCTTTCAAGGCTCTGTTCAAATGTCATCTCCTCAGGGCCTTTCTCTGATCACTCAACCTAAAACGAATCTTCTATCATTCTCCATTCCCTTAATCTGAATTATTTTTCTTTCATGAATTATTCCCACATGAATATATAGAATTTTTGCATACTTTCTGTTTCCCCTACCAGATTGTCAATAACAGAAGATGAAAGACTTTTGTTTTGCTAGTACCTAGCACAGTATCTGGCAAAGTGCTCAGTAAATATTTGCAGAAAACACAAGTGAGTGAATCTGTAGGAATGTTAGACTGATGGCAGGGCAGACTTACAGAGAAGTTAAGATCAAGATGGACACATGTCAAGTCTGACATGTCCCAAAGTCTTCAAACAAAAAAAATTTTGTGTCAAATAGGCCATCAAATATTCTGGGATATAATTCAGAAGAGTCTGGTGAGCTGTATGTCTGTGCAATTGCATGTCTATGTAGAGATGTGTGTGCCTGTGCCTGAGTGCCTGTGTGTGGAGTGCCTGCTGGACATCAAACTCAGGGCCTCATGAGTGCTAACACTCTACCACTGAGCTACACTTCTAGGCCCATGTGTGTGTTTCTCGATTGTCTTGCATCTCTGTCTGTATGTTCTGTGAACACTGCAGGATGAAGCTGTGTGGGCCTGTACTAGGGTGAGGAGAGAAATGTCTGATCCTAGCCACTAGAATGTAAATGATTCTGAAGGGTAAAAGCCTTTCCCAGACAGCTCTGGGGACTGGACCCTAGCCACAGTGAGAGGCTGAGCCAACCAGCTGTTTCAGTGCTTTCCCAGAAGGACTTGAGTTTTTGCTTCCAACTAGGCAGGCTGCTCTTCCCAGGGCAGAAAATTTGGGTCACAAATGATCTTGGCAAATATTCTTTCTTAGATGTTATTGTGTAGTTTGTCTGGGGGAGGGTGGGAGATGGAGGAGGGAAGGGGGAACGAGGGAAAGCACAAATATCTTTATGGAACCAAAGAATCACAAGCACATCATAAGGCCCCAGCCAGGAAAATGTTAGGTTTTCACAACACAAATGCAGTCCTAGAACGTCTGGGCTTCATAAGTATTTGTGCCCAAGATGTGATTCAGGCCAGTGGCAGCAGCTGAAGGGTTAGAGTTCTCAGCTCCATCTCCTTCCCACTCCCAGCCCTAGATGCCCAGCCTCACAAGTGAAAGGTGAAGAGGGCCTCCTCACCTCTGTCCACTGTCCTGACCATTTCAGGGCCTGCCTTGCTTCTGCTTCCCTTTTACTGCTACTCCTTTTTCTTTTTGTGTTCATTTTCTAGCTTGATGAAAAATAATGTTCATTTATAAAAAGTGTCACCAAGAATAAAAAAGGACCTATGATAGGGTTCACAATTTATAGTTAATTCCAAATACTTCTGAGGCATCTCTAAAGTGACTGAAAGCTGCAAATATTTCCCCTTAGGGAAGCTAATGAAGGAAGCCTTCTCTTCTCAAGCTCTCAACTATAGGCAAGGTGCCAAGCTCAGCGACCCTTTGACCCTTTGACCCTTGTGCAATGTTGGCTCTGAGGCTCCTCATCCCTGAAAATAACCTGTTTTTCTGCTTGTCTCTGGAGTTCCTGGGTCCCTACTTTCCTTCCCAGCTGTCTGCTTATAACTGAATTGGCAAGGGGGAAACTCTGTTCTCTCTCTCTTCAGTTTTTACATCTCTTTGGGTTGAAAGAAACAAAAAGCACAGAACCATAGAACCCAGGACCCAGAGGGCCTTCAGAGTTATATTAGCCAATGATTTTCAATTTTTTTCCCCCACAGATCTCCAGAATTCTGCAGAGGGGAGATACTGTAAAAAGGATTGGGGACAAAATGCAGGGTTGGGGGTTGTGCTTTTTAATCTTCTTTTACATGATGAGCTTATGCATGGAAATTCATTGGAGATAAAGCTTTTGCTAACTAAAAATCTGAAAACCGTCGGTGTGTGTATTTATTGTAATTCATTTTTTTTTTTTTTGCAGTGCTGGGGATCCAACCCAGGGCTTCACACATGCTAGGCAGGCAAGTGCTCTATCACTGGATTATATCCCCAGCCTCTGAAAACGACTTTTATAGTTTAATTTTCCCTTAGATGTCTAAATCCCACATCCCATCCTTTACTCCACTCAATGTCTCCCTGGCCACTTCTGTCCCCATCTCTCTCTCAGGCAGGCTGGCAGAGGAACCAGCACCCAGACTTCTTGTTCTCTACAAGGAACTTTCATTGTATACCATACCTTGCTTCCTGACCAATTCTCTTGCCCCAGTTTCAATTTCATCTTTAGTGCTTCTTTTCTCTTTGGGTTGAAGATATTTATCATGTCAACAAATATCTTTGTACTACTCTGAACACTGAAAACCTACATTTTGTTGGAGTTCTATAAGGGTGTAGGCCTTTTTGCTTCAAGTGCTGGGGATTAAACCCACAAGTACTCTATCACTGAGCTACATTCCCAGCTTTTAACTAATTAATTTAGTTTTTACTTTAAATTTTTTTAATTGTAAGACAGGATCTCACTGAGTTGCCAAGGCTGGCTTTGAATTTGAAATCCTCCTGCCTCAGTCTTCTTTTGAACTGCTGGGATTACAGGCATGCATCCCCATATCTGGCTGCCTTTTTTCCCAACGAGAATGTTAAACCTATTTTTTTCTTTTTTTATCATTTTTTTAATATTTATTTTTTAGTTATAGGTGGATACAATATCTTTATTTATTTATTTATTTTTATGTGATGCTGGGGATCAAACCCAGTGCTTCATGCATGGTAGGTGAGCGCTCTACCTCTGAGCCACAACCCCATCCCCCTTTTTATCATTCTTATCACTAGGGCAAGTATATTAGCTAGGACAGGAATGGCAATAAATGAGTAAATAAATGAATCAATATATTCTTCATTTTCTTAGTCATTATTCCTCTTCACTACCTGACTCAGAGGCCTAGGGCAGGAGGAGAACAGGAACTCAAGAACCGTTTCTGGGACATGGTATCAATGCACAAGCAATCATACTAGTATCAAAAATAAGGGTCAGCAATGTTCTTAGCATCTTACATGTATTAACGTATCTTGACAACTCTACACTGAAGGTTCTATTAAATCTTATTAAGCACATGCACTTCATAAATGAAGAAACAGGTTCAGAGAGGTAAAGTAGTTTTTTCAACATATATAACTCCAGTGAGTGGCACCTAGGAACACTCCCTCTCCTCCAGAATTTAGGACCCTCCCAGTAAAAAAGTAGCCTACTTTTGCAGGCTGATCTCCTTCCTATTCTACCTCTGCTGCTCTCATGACAAACTCTCCCACTTATTAAACCCCACCCTATCTTTGCCTCCGGATACCTGATCTGTCTTTCAGAGCCTTGCTTCAGTGCTACCTCATCAAGCTGAAATTACTCTCTCCTGCCTCTGTGTTTCTCAGGCAATTTGTTGGAATCTGGGTGGTAGCTAAGCACCACATTCTGCCATAGATGCTCTACATCCACCCCCATCCCAGGATATGTGTGTGTGTGTGTGTGTGTGTGTATGTGTGTGTGAGAGTGTGTGTGTGTGTGTGTGTGTGTGTGTGTGTGTACACCTGTCTTCTGTTCGAAGTCATAAGCTTCCTGCAGGCAGAACTTTGTCTCTGGGCATACCTTGCAAAGAAGAAATACACATCCGAATGTTGGTGAAACAGAGATTGCGTTGAGTCTTACTAGGAATCACCAGGCCAAGTAAGTACACGGATTAAAAAACAATTACCCAGCCCCCCCACCCCCAAGTCCTTGACTCTTCTGGGGACTTGAGTCTGGAGCAAGGATTTGGACTTTGACAAATGTCTGGGGCTCTGCCTGCAAGGTGGAGTCACCTGGCCAGAGGGAAAGCTACATTCCCTAGGGATCTTGTGGTCCTCTCCATTCCAGTATCCATCCTCTTGACCCCTTGACTCCTTTCTTGAAGATCCCAGGTCACTCAATCTCAGCAAAGCTTAGAATTCAGTAACATAGGAGGGGGAGTGGGGGTGTATGAGGAAACTGGAGTCTCCCACCCCCTTCGATCTTGATGTTTTGCCCTGATTGTGCCTCGAATGACTCCCAGAGAAGGCAGGGGATAGGGAATGTAGAGACTAAGGAGGACAAGGAAGAGGGGTATCAGAGGGCAGGAAAGGCAGGCAAAAAGAAAGGCACGTGTGGTGGGAGGGGGCAGAAGGTGGTGGGGGGCCCCATCTCAGACCCCTCTGGACTCGTGGCCAGTCTGGAGGGCCCAGTTCTGGACGGTAGAGGACAACTTCTGCCAGCAGCCCCGCGGTCTTGTTCGCCTCCCGCGCTGCGGTGTCCAGCCGCGCGCCAGCCCTCTAGGGGAGACTGGTGCTTGGCGATGTCGCTCCCCACCCGGGGCCATCCCGGCCGGCTCCCACCCAGACACCCACCGACCGGCCTCCTCACCTTCGGGACCTGAGGGAGCGACCGGCCGGCGGGCCCAGGGTCCGGGCAGGGCTGGGAGTGGGGGAGACGCTGTC